TCAGTGGGAGCGCCGCTGCGCTCCCAAGCGGCGCACTCTCCAGTGTGCCACCAGGCCGGCCCTAGATATGAAGTTTACAGGAGGTATCTACTTAGGGTTGGCTTGTTGTGTCCTAAAGTAGGCTCCACACTGACATCTCCTGGGCTGTTTCCAAATCTGCTGATTCAGTCCCTCGCTAAGTTGACAAACTCATTAGAATATCCCTAACAAAACTGCTGGTCTCATTCTTACCAACTCCAAAACATAACCTTTTCATTACTTAACTAAGAAGGCTAACAATAAAACAGACTGAAAGATACCACATGAAATAAAGTTGCTATCATTTACTCAAGGGAATGACATGTTAATAGATCCATAAACCTCAGTGAAAAACAAAACAAAACAACTTTTTTTGTTATAGAAACCAAAGGTCAATGAAGGAATCCAAGTCTATGGTGCATGTTGAAGGATATTTGAGAAAACAAGGAGGTAAACCTAACAGAATCTATTTTACTCACATTAGTCCTGAGGGTCATTTTGGCTTTTAGAGAGTATTTCTTCCCCTAATCACCTACCTATTCATTAAATATATAATGAATAGCATTGCTATAGTAATATAAAAGCATTTGGGGGGATAAAAAGAAATACAACGCAAGGACTATCCATCCTTCATGAATCTTCCCTAGTAACTAAGATGTATAGAGCAGCACTACATTAGAAGGAAATATGAAATAAGTGCCATCCAAGTCCTATGTTCAGAAATTAACTACCTCTCCCTGCTTTTGTACCAAATCAAGTGAGCCTGCAAATAACACAGGTCCAACCACAGTACTGATACTTCTCCATAAAAAATGGTGGGTTAGCTACTTAAAGGTCATACCATTCACTGTAAACATGGCTATTTTCAAGTGGCCTCTGTATCCCAGTAACCTTACTGCTCCTATAGAGCAAACAGGACATGAAATCATAACAATCATAAAATGACAAACCAGAGACTGATCGAACAAGTCCCTGTGGCATCCCTTGTATCTCCATCTACAAATCATCACTCCCTAAGCCTTGTTAGAGGATAAATGTAAAGGTTTATATGAAAAATTGGTGGAAATTTTAGCCCACAGAATTAATTGTGGACCATGTACTTCAGGATTCTTAATGCTGTCCAGGACTGTCCAGAGGTATATAATTTAAATACAAGACTATGCCAGAAAGCATTTTCTTTCACTTGTTTCCCTATCCATTAATTCTATTTTTCCTCCATTAAAAGTAGTGCCTTTCCAGGCCTAGCTGGTTAGCTGAGTTGGTTAGAGTATGGCCTTATAACACCAAGGTCACAGGTTCGGAAAATTGTACCAGCCAGCCTCCAAAAAAAGAAAAAGAAACTTCATAAGGTAATGTGCACTAGTCTTAAGTTGAACCGAAGTAGTGCCTTTCCAACCCTCACATTAAACAGACACTGAAGCAGTGGAAATGACACCTGAATAATAACTTTTGATGAAGACTCAAGTCTCAGTACAGCCGTTAGAATATAAACCGAGGCTGCGAGAGTTATAGTGTTCTCGCATTGCTGTACTAAGACGGTGTATCCTAATAATAGGCACGAGG